GATGAAAAAGTACTTGAGCAAGAAAATACATTACCACAAGCAAGTGGTAATAACGTCTCAAAGGTAAAACTTAATGTTAACAGTTAGAAATATAGATTCAATATGCTCATTATATTATCTCAATAGGATCAACAAAAAAATATTGATGCAGATATCGTTGAAGCCTTTTACAAATATCAAAAGACAATTCCGAAAACCCGTAGAGTTTTCACGTATGTTTAATGTCGTTTATTATTTTCTTAATAATGGCACGATTACTGATTATTTTATCATTTCATCCAACAACCCCGCATATTGGGGAATTCTAGACTTAACCGGAGAAAGCTTATATGATTGTAAAAATCTCACGGAAGAGGTTATACTACAACTTTCACAGGAATTTACTAACAAAATTTCCTGGAAAACAATGCCACCTGAAAAGAATATACGAGAATATTTTGATGCAAATTGTGCGAAAAGCGTAGATGATAATCATGATATTGTAAAACTAGATGCAAACATCCAGTTTATGTATGTATAGGTTTTTTTGATTATATTTATTATCTGGCTATAGTATCCTGACCCTGAATTTCTATACAGGAAAAGCGGTGCATCTAGTTTTCAAGGAATGATGACGGAGGAAGAACTAAAAATGAGTTCGACATTTCCTCTATTTCGTGGGATATTTACCTCCGATAATATTAAAAATGCTTGGTAGAACATTTATTTATGTTTGTCTTTAAGAGTAATTGCTAATAAACTCCACTTTTAAGTACAGGCTTAGAACTTAATTTTTATGCTATGGACTGGTTAGGAGCCGGTATATACCGATTTGGGTTGGTTGATCAATGCATTTTACATTGGACCTAGCTGCCGCACCAATTTTTCACGGATGATTCTCGATTTTGATTGGCTAACTGCGACGATCTCTTGATTTTGATTGGCTAATAGCGACGATCAAAAATTTTGGCCCGAGTTACTCAAAATTTTACTAATGAAACCACAGCCGCACATTAAGTGAAAAATATTCCTGGGCTAATTTTACCATTGT